ACCGTTGAACCATGACTTAATGTTATCGCAGTTGCTTTTCCAAGCAAGTTTACTTATGCCTTCAATGTTTGATCTTTAGGTTAATCATTCTCAGAGGATGTCGGAAAAGCCCCTTACCCCCTGGGTGGTTTGCGAAAAGCCAGGGAAAGTGATTTCTGTCCACTCTGACTGCATGGCTGGCCTGAGTGAGAGCTGCTCTCATGTTGCTTCACTGTTGTGGGCTATTGAAGCTGGATGCAAACGAAGGGATTCTCCGACAGTCACAGAAAAGAAAGCCTATTGGGTTCTTCCATCAGCCCTGAAATCTGTGCCTTATTCCGGAGTAAAAGATATCAAATTTTCTAAAACTTCTTCCAGTGCTGCTTCAGTCATCAAAGAATCATCTGTTGGAGCCCCTTCAGAGGCTGAGCTTACTGAATTTTTTAATAACATCAATAAGTGCCCTTCTAAGCCAGCTATTTTGTAATTCCTGACCATGCAGTTTTCTATGTTCCAAAGTCTCTAACTCCTGATCTACCTGATGTGCTGTCCAATTTGTATGATGAAAGCCTAGCTAATGCAGACTACCCAACTTTACTGGAAAAGGCCAACGAAATAGTTGAAGAAATTCAAGTCACTAAGAAACAACAGGCATTGGTGGAGGAAAGGACTCGAGATCAGGCAGACTCGAGACTTTGGTTTAGAATGAGGACTGGGCGCATAAGAGCATCTAAGTTTAAGAATGCCTGTCGCACAGATCCCTCTTGCCCGTCACATTCCCTGATCATGAGCATATGCCACCCAGAAATGGCACGGTTCAACACGGAGGCCACTAAGTGGGGCTGCCAGCATGAAAAAGTAGCCAAGGAAACCTATGCAAGTTTTCAAAAAGTGAAACACAAGAACTTCGGTATGTCATATTCAGGCCTCTTTGTGAGCAGGAACCACCCCTACCTTGGAGCATCACCAGATGGGTTAGTGTGCTGTGATTGCTGTGGAGCTGGTGTATGTGTAATTAAGGTATTAATTTGTGCTTGGGTGAAGTTTTTATATGGCGGTGATATGTTAGATTTTGTAGTAAAGATACCGGATGACTTTATCAATAATGTAAGATAGTTTATTAATGTTAGTCTGCAACTGATATGGCCAGGTCAGCTCATGTTTGCAAATAGCATGTTTTATTGACCTTTCTAATTAACAAATATAACATGTTCAATTTCTCAGCCAGTGACTTAGGAAAGACATTCCTAATCCTTGGATTCTTTTGGTCATTTTGCTTTGAAATTCCAAGGTTGAATTTTGGATCGTTTTAAATAGACTGAAGACATCACACTTCCATGAGCTTTGATTTTTTTTTAGTGTCCGTTTTGTCACAAGAATGATCACATCTCCACGTCTGCCCAGGACAAGAATTTTTGCTTTGAGGTGACAACAACAGGAGCACATCGACTCAAGCGAAATCACCAATATTATTACCAGGTACACCATAGGTTAAAATTTTAATAATGTTACACTTTCATTAATTTTGGGAAATTGTACCTGTGTTATATAATGGAACCCTTTCAAGAGCAGTTTTACAAATATTTCAGCTACAGACAAAAACCTTGGCAAGTGTTCTTGTCTGAGTTTCTAGAATATGAGATGATATGTGAGATATTCGGCTGCTACAATAACAATATTGATGCTAAATTGTAAATAGCAGTAAGGTTTTGATCCTTTGTATTTTTTTTTCAACAGGTCCAGTTGCAGCTGATGTGCACAGACCTGAAATATATTGATTTTGTTGTTTGGACTAAAAACGGTCTTTTTATTGAGAGAATTTTTGCAGACAAATCGTTTAGGGAGGAGAAGGTTCCTAAAGCAAAAGAGTTTTTTTTGTGCGAGCAAATTTACGTGAGGTTATTGGCCGATGGTACTCGAGACCAGTCACATCTTCGGCAGATGGGTCTGCTACAGTGGAAGGGGGGAATGTTGATGAATTTTTTTATTGTAGGGGTGAGGAACATGGGCAAATGGTTGGATGTGATGATGGAAGGTGCTGCTATCGGTTGTTTCACTTGGAATGTCTAAAATTAAACACGTTTCCAAAATCAAATACATGGTACTGTCCAGATTGCCAAAAGCGACGAAAAGGGAAATCTATGCGAAGCGAGTAGGCAGTTACAGCATGGGTGGAATCTCAAGTTAACAATACTGACAATATTTGAGTAATTTTTTTTTAAACAGATAAAACCAACCCAAGAACTTCTACATTTTTCTATCATGAGATTCAAATACACCTTTTTGTGAACTAGTTAAAAATNATAAAGTACATTTATACAAACCTGAAATAAAATGGTCCCCGCAAACTCTGTGAAATACACTGGGATCAGCCCCTAGATCTTCTCTTCGGATCCTGGAGAGCCAAGTCGCTCTACGTTCGATGCTTAAAGCTCGCTTTTTAGCGTTCGATCTGGTCACAATTGCAGGTATGCGAAAATAACTTTTGTCCTTTTCTCTGTTAGAATGGTTTGAGCAACCAAATACCGCACAAAAGTTCACCATGACAGGAAAAATCCAACAATAAATTCACTCCAGCTTCAAGCATGTGCTATTTGATTAGAACTGTTTGTCTTCCAGTTCGCGAGGTCACATGTCATGACGTCATATCTGAAAGGGGTCTATAGGCGTACTTGGCAAGAGAAACCCTATAGTGCTGTCCCGCTGTTAACTTCGAAGCATGGAAACTAGTTGGCAACGCAAAGGTTGCTGGGAGAATTAGAATGGCGGAGACTTTGGAGCCTTTTATCAGCTTAGAGAACTTCGTCATGACTCGTTAGTTTCTGGACAGTTGTGAGGTAACAATGAGTGCTTTTAGACCTGTAGTACTGCCACCAAACTAAAAATAAAACTTGAATGCTTGGAAGGTCCTGCTGATCCGATCAACAGTGGAGGAAGACCTTAGCATATGGTTCTTAGTATGTTGTTAGAGTGTTTTTTCTAACTGTAAGGCAAGAGAGCAACAAATTGGTTGGGTCCCTGAACAAGGCCGCGCAATTTTGGATGCTGTTGGAAAGGCATGCAATTTGCCAAACTTTCATGCCAAAATTGACAGTGCAAGTAGCAAAAATATGGGAGACAAGTTTACCAAGATAACAATTTTTAAAATTTGTCAGGCTTTGTGAAATAATTAATTAATGAAGTTATTTTTAATTAATTATGTGAAAAATTTATTGATAGTTTCATGTAAGTCATGTCTCTTTTCTTAAATGAAAAATATGTGTCTTTGTGTATATTTTTGATAGGTTTGTTTGATGTTGGGCATATAACTCATGCTGTTTTCCTGGCTATTTATTCACTACCTTTGACTGTATGATTTAACAATAACTGTTGTGTTAATTCTGTCTAAACATTTTAAGCTAATTTGGTTTCCTGGCTATTTATTCACTAGCTTTGACTGTATAACTTAACAATAACCGTTGTGGCAATTCTGTCTAAATATTTTATGCTAAATTGGTTTCCTAGCTATTTATTCACAAGCTTTGACTGTATAATTTGACAATAACTGTTGTGGTAATCCTGTCTAATTATTTTTAGCTAAATTGGTTTGAAATCTGGATATTTTAAACTATGGTGACTTAACAGCATACAGAAGTAACCAAAATGACTTTGGCGTTTATTGTAAGGGATTCTGTAAATATTTTTAAGGTTTATGGAGAGACTTTTGTTAACTTTGATTTTATCACTTCAGTCAAATAAAATCATTTTAAGTGGCATTAACTTACCTTAAGTCGCCTAAAGTCGCAATGTTTTTTCTGCCAATTTTACTTAAGTCGCCTTAAGTCACCTTAAATAGCCCAAACGGTTACAGCGACTTAGGGCCTCAGAGTAGGCCTAGCCTAATCCCATGTGAGTTCTTGAGTGACCTTTCACTCTCAGTGAGATCAAATTCAAAGATACATTTCTCCTAAATTTCATCTTGATATCCTCTGTGCTTTATTCGTATTTTGAAACACTGTGAGTATTTATTGAACGTGGAGCGTGACGANAGCTTAACATTACCGCGTATCTATAGGAAAACAATGGAATTATCTTTCTGTAAGAGTTGCGTAACCACAACTAGCTACAATTATACCTGAAATGCTAAGTTTACTAAAAGAAAAATCCCTTGATTTACCTTGTTACATTGCAGTTCAAATGGAGCTTGGATCAAAAAACCCAAACTATTCTAAATTTGTCTCATCAACCTTGAACTGACTAAGTTGGGTGATGTGAATCTCATTTTTTGATGTCTTTTTGTTATTTGTTTTTTGTTTTGTTTTTTCCTTTGGTTTTTTTTTTTGTTTTGTTTTGTTTTGCTTTGTTCTGTTTTTTGTTTTTTTGCTTTTGTTTTGTTTTGACTTTGTTTTGCTTTTGTTTAGTTTTGTTTAATCAGTTTTGTTTTGTTTTTGTTTTTTTTATTGATAGCGCAAACTTTTTAGGAAGGCTATTTATTTAGTCTGAACAGATTTTAAGGTTCACGAAGTATTTACATCATCATCATCACCAAAAATTAATGCAAGCTACAACAAACCCACCACGATAGCTATCGCATCTCACTTTATTTATGTAACGTTATATTTTTTTTGTACAACCCATGTTCAGTATTATATAGAAGAAGCCGAACTTACAAACTGTCGTCGATATGTTCAGGCTTTGGCAAACGGTAACCTTGATAGATTTTTCTCATTAACGTGGTTTCAGACCATCCTTCGTATGGAATGCCTCCTGTGGAAAAATAAAAGAGCATGACTGTTTTGTTGTAATCAGTTTCATCTCAACTGGCACGATCGGAATGATTTCAAAGTTAAAATGATAGTTATCGAAACATATTCCTGTTTACATCAAATAAAAGATAGAAGAAGAAAGGTTTTCAAACAATGTGATAAAATAGTTTATTGATCAGCGACATTGAGTATTGCCATTACTTCTCTATTATGCAATGCTTCTGTAGCTGCTCATGGTATAACCTTTCAACTAGCAATTGTGCAAGCAATTTCGGCGAGTATATTTTTTGAAAGTAAACTAACAAATAAGTGAACTGAGTACCGATTGTGAAGATTTCAAATAGGACTATGCCATAAGACCACCTGTGGAATAAATAGAGGGATGACAACTCATGTCAACTAGGGCAGAAAAATAATCGTTAATTCAGACACTTCAACTGTTTTAGAATATGTTTATCAACATATAAAGAAAGCCTTAAAGATAAAAAATCCATAGTTATTTCTTTGATCATCCATTTGTCTCTTCATCTCTTAATTCTCATAATCAGGTTTTAAGAGATGTCACCAAAAATCAGACAAATTCACAAATCACCGGCAACAGTCAAAAAATTTAGTTGGGTCATATTCTAGTATTAGGTAGGCCTAGGTAGTTTTCTAAAAAATTTTTTTTCCAGAAAATTGATAAAACTCAGTTTAGGCATAATTAGCTTCATTCGAAGGCCGAATTTAGCCCATTTTTATA